TCACACTGATTTGCAGATGTTTAATAATCCTTGCATCATTGGGATAAAACACTCTTGATCTTGGTATTATCTTTGTATTATCCTTTTAATATATTGTTGAATTTTATTTGCTAATATTTTGTTGAGGACTTTTGCATCTATGTTCATCAAGGATATAAGCCTGTAATTTATTTTTTTGTAATATCTTTGTCCGGCTTTGTTACCACTGCAATGTTGGCCTTTGAAAAAAGTCTGGAAGTTTTCCTTCCTATTCTATTTATTGAAATAATTTGAAAATGACTGGTATTACTTCTTCTTTAAATGTTTGATAGCATTTACCTATGAAGCCACCTGGTTCTGGACTTCTTTTTTCTCAGTAGTATTTTGATTACTGATTCAAACTCCTTACTTGTTATTGGTCTATTAAGATGCTTTTTCACCATGATTAATGCTTGGTAGGTTGTATGTTTCTAGGAACTTACCCATTACATCTAGGTTATGGAAGTTGTTGGTGTATAATCCTTCATAGTAATTTTTTATGATCCTTAGTATCTGTGTGGTGTCAGCTGTAATGTACCTTCTTACATTTCTGATTTTATTTAAGTCTTCTATCTTTTATTCTGAGTCTAGTTAAAATTTGTCAATTTTGTTTATCATTTCAAAAAACCAGCTTTTAGTTTCATTGATCTTTTCTACTATCTTTTAGCTTGTATTTCACTTACTTCGACTTTATCTTTGTTATTTCCTTTCTTCTATTAACTTTTGGTGCTTAGTTTGTTCTTCTTTTTCTGGTTCCTTAAAGCATAAAGTTAGATTGTTTAGTTGACAACTTTCTTCTCTCTTATGTGGGTATTTATCATTATAAACTTCCATCTTAGAACTGCTTTTGTTGTATTCCTTATGTTCTGGCATGTTATGATTCTCTTTTATCTCAAGGTATTTTTCGATTTCTCTTTTGATTTTTTCTTTGACCCATTAGAGCCTCAGGAGCATTTGGTTAATCTCCACATGTTTGTAGATTTTCGTTTTCTTCTTGCGAATCATTACTAGTTTCATATCATTTTGGTTGGAAAATATGCTTGATATGATTTCAGTTTTCTTAAACCGATTAAGACTTGTTTTGTGGACTAATATATGATCTGTTGTGGAGAATGTTCCCTGTGTGCTTGGGAAGACTCTATATTCTTCTACTGTCAGATGGAATATTCTGTGTGTCTGTTATGTTCATGTGGTCTAGTAGGTAGTTTAAGTCCAAAGTCTCCTCACTGATATTCTGTCTCAAGGATCTGTCCACTGTTGAAAATGGGGTATTGAAGTTCCCTACTGTTGTATTGCTGTCTATTTCTCTTTTCAGACCTTTACTACCAAAAAAAAGCAATGTTTGTTTTATATATATTTACATGCTCTGATGTTAGATATATAAATATTTACAGATGTTATATTCTGTTGATGAATTGTCCCCTTTATCATTATAAATAAGCTTTGTTCCTTACAGGGTTTGGCTTAAGTCAGTTTTAACTGGTATAAATAAAGCTGATTCTTTCCTCATTTGCCATTTGCATGGAGAATGTTTTTCTATTCCTTCAGTTTCAATCTATATGTTCTTAAAGCTGAGATGAATCTCTTATAGTCAGGATATAGTTGGGTCTCTTTTTTTCTTTTTAATCCATTCAGCCACTCTATGTCTTTTGATTGGAGAACTTAGTTCATTTACATTTAGTTAATGGTAGGAACGGACTTACTACTGACATTTTGTTAATTGTTTTCTAGCTGATTTTAGTTCTTCTGTTCCTTTCTCCCTCTCCTACTCTCTTCTTTTGTGATATGATGATTTTTCTGTAGTGGTACATTTTGATTCCTTTCTCTTCATCCTTTCTGTTTCTACTACAGGTTTTTATTTTTTCATACCATGAGGTTTACATAAAACATCTTATAACAGTCTATTTTAAGCTGATAACTAAATTTTGAGCACATACAAAAGCTCTATGACTTTACAAATTCCCTCCCACATTTTATGTTTTTGATGTCACAATTTGCATTTTTAATACTGTGTTCCCATTAAGAAATAATTTTTAAAAATACTTTTGTATTTTAACTTTTATATTAGAGTTAGAAGTGATTTTACCCATCACCATTACAATATTGGAATATTCAGAATTCATCTATATCTTTTCCTTTACTGGTGGTGTTCATATTTTTTTCATATTACTGATTTGTGTCCTTTTATTTCAGCTTGAAATGTTAGCATTTCTTGTAAGGCTTTTCATGATGATCAGCTCTTTCAGCTTTCATTTGTCTGAAAAATTTTTTGTCTCTCCTCCAAATCTCAAGTAGAACTTTGCCAAGCACAGTATTCTTGATTGACAGTTTTTTTTAATCAGCATTTTGAATATATCATCCCACTGCCTTCTTGTTTGTAAAGTTTCTGCTGAAAAATACACTGATAATCTTACAGTAGTTCCCTTGTACTTAAGAAGTTGCTTTTCTCTTTGTCTTTAAAGTTTGATGTTTTTGCCAGATCCCTCTGTGCTAAGCCTGTGACTATAGTTTTAGCAAGTGCTCGTGTGCTTGTAAAGAACAGCTTCTTTGTTTCCTATAGTCTTGTGGTCTTGTGGACATAGTTTCAGAGCTAGGTATTTTGGGGAGCTCTCTTGAGAGGCAGTCTTAAAAGATGGGGTGTTAAATATATGCTCCAAATCCTTTGCTTCTCATGGAGAAGCTGGGAGTTGGGGATTCCCTTCTGTTTGTGGAACTGTGCTAGGGTTAGTGTTTATACATTTGGTTATGTGCCTCAACCTTTCTTGCCCACTTCAAAGTGGGTATTTTCTTTTCTTAATGACTTGGCATGTAGGAGTTGCTCAACTAGTTTCTGGACTTCTCTCAGATTGCTCCATGAGAGTGTCTGTGGGAGGAGGGAAGTTTCGTAGCTTCCCGTGTCTTCGTTTTGGTCCCTCCAGCTAAATGGGTCTTGATGAGTTGGCTAAGTAGCAGTTCCCCATTAACTGTAAATTGTAAGTTATAAATGGAATTATTCTCTTAATTTCATTTTTGGAATGTTTGTTGCTAGTACATAGATTGTTATATGTTGACCTTACATCCTGCAAATCTGCTGAGCCCATTTATTAGTTCTCATAGCTTTTAATTAATTTCTTAGGATTTTTCTACACACAAAATCTTTTTCAGTCTGGATGACTTTTATTTACTTTTCTTATACAATATCCCTTGCTAGAATGTTCAGTACAAGCTCAAGAAAAATGATGAGAGGGATGTCCTTGTCTTGTTTCTGATCTTAGGGGAAAATCATTCAGTCTTTCAACATTAAATATAATATTAGTATAATCTTTCTTTGATACTGCATTGATTTCACATTTGGGAATCCTATGCACATAGTTCTCAAGCAATAGTTATTGGATTGGCCCAATGAAACAAAAATCACTCTATTTTGAAAGTCACAGCTATTTGAGGATAAATGAGTAAAGCAATAGAATCTATAATAACACATTATATTATAATGTAGATATGCACAAGTTACTGGCTTAATCATGTGTTACAATGATATCAACCACATATAGTGAAAGCTTGGTTATTTTTAGCGAGAGTGATGATTATATTCCCTAATACAAATTATTTTTCTACTGCACATGATGTTACTTGGTCATTATATAGATGACTTAAATATGCTGCCATGTACTAGGATTGCTTAAGACAGCCTGTGATACCCATTAGGATGTTGTAGATATTAGTTTTTCTATTTCATTTGGTTTGTCAGTGATAAGTATACACTTCTGGCATGACAGTCTATAACACACTGAATTTTTTTTTAACCGTTTGGAAAGAATAGGTGCCAGATTCTTCTGTTTGCTAGAATCTCCTGTATAATGTCATGGTGAATGCAGACATTCCATAAACATAAGGTTTTTTTCTCTTATAGTGATTAATACCACTATTAAAGTATAAATCAGCTTTATATTTTATATTTTTTAAAAATATATTGAAACATCCAGACTATGGGTCTACCAAAAGCAATGGAAAAGCCAAGTCAAAATTTCTCAGTATTTTCATTATAAGCTGTTAGGCAGTAAACTTTATTCAAGAAACACAATACAATAAGAGTTTATAGTCTATTTCTACATTTCAGTATCTCCATAGTGAACTACCTCCCAGTTCACTATGGACTGAAAATTTCTGTTTCAATATGTGATGGCTCCCTCACCATAGAAGTGCTAAATCTGAATCTCTTTTGCAGCCTGTTTCTTTTCCTGTTTCAAGCACAAGATCCTCACCAAAGAAACATGTGGTAGGAAAAGAGAAAAAGGAGAAAATATTCTTAACTTTCCTAGGATAAACCGCTTTTGAGATCAAGCCTTTGGGGCAGATGGTACTCTAATATGCAAGGAAAATGGCCCTCTGCTTAGCCAGTTTCCCCCACACTGCAAAGTTAATAAAGAAATATTTAGTGAGCCTTGCCAAGAAATCTAAAGGACTTGCCTTTGGCCTTTAAAGATTTTATACTAATACATGTTTCTTGTTCAATAGCCATCCATACGTAACATGTGAAAAGTTGACACAGTTTTTAAAAATTTAGATTACTCTGAAAAACTTCCTTATTCAGCTATTTTGATCTTGTTTTTCTTAAAATTAGAGGGCACGGGTCATCAATTTCAATCATTCTTGTAATACCCTAAATATTGGCAGTTTGTATTCAGAGTAGCACATTTATCATTTACACAGAGAAAAGGCCACTATTTAATTTGCCAAGTGAGATCATAATTAAAGCAAACATTATAATTAGTTGTAAAGGTTACTTTGGCAGATACCAAACTAATCTATTTCAAAATATATTGAACTCCACATTAGAAATATAATGATCATTGTAACAAAAATAATATCTTATGTGTTAGAAAAAGTTTAGTAAGCAATGTAGTCTTATCTTTTTTTGGAGAGTTATTTTAAAGCACAGTTAAAATAATCTTGAATGCTTGAGCAATCCTGATGAAAAATAGAAAATAATGGGTTCTTACCAAGTTTGCAATGATGTAATGGTAGCCTTTAACATGCTTTCCAACACTCACAATCTGCAAAGACATAATGAAATAAGAGAAAACCAATTTAGTTTACTGAATTATTATATATATATGTATTTGAAAATATTTAATTATTCTAGCATAATACCACATGGAAATATAAGAAAATAATAGAGTTTTCCTTATAAAAGTAATGTATCTTAATTAGAATTCATAAGCTGCATTAAAATTTAAGTGGTTTAAAAAAAAAGACTCTAATTCCTTTTCATTCACACAGTATAAATGACCAATCATTTCATTATAACTTATTCAGAAAGCTACTATGCTATCATTCTCTCAAAGAGAATGACAATATGAAACAAATAGTTAATATCTATTTCTAAAAAAAATATAATTAACATAGAAAACTTAAAATGATTTTAGTTCAAAGAATTTAGATGTATTTAATTTATTGATAATTTATAGAAATGTATGAGGTACTGTTAGTGTTTTCAACTGGTAAGAATGATTTTATGAGTTGACAGGATTTTTGTTCTGAGCAGCAAGCAAGATTTTTCTAAGTCACCATCTGTTTTTAGATACTTGTGATACCACAGAATATTTAGTTAATTTCACCTGCATATGAGCAGGTGAGATATAGCAATAAAATAGAGTAATAAATACAGCAAATATAAAATAGAGCAATGTTTTATTATAATAAAAGAATAAGGACAAAACAACATCAAGAGACTTCTTTCTGCTAGATTCATTTCTTTTTCTAAGAATGCTTTTAGGACTGTCTAGGAAATTGGGAACAGAATTTTTAGGAAAATGAAATATAGGATTTAAAAAAAATACAAATTTATATCTACATTTGAAATTAAAACTCTTACTTTGTATAAAACTAATAATTCCTTCAGTAAGAGAAAATCTGATGACAGTTCCTAATTAGCAGTTCTGTAACCTCATTGGTGTCCTCAAAGGTAACAATGTAATACAAGATTTGCATATACTTTCATCATCAAAGAAATAATTAAATTGTTTTTAGAATATAAATGTCCTCTAAAAACAGTTCTTTGAAAGTCAGTGATTTGTGTATGAATTGTGCTGGAAAACAAGAGTTTTGCATATTTGACTATTGGTGAATTGGAATCTGCTCATCTCATCTCTTCTTTTTGATTACATTTAAGACCTTTAAGTGTTTAAGTTTTCTGCAGTTTCACTACAATTAGGTTGGACTTTTACTTTTTATTTTTGTGTGTATTGCTCAGAATTGGTCATGCTTCCTGAATATGAGGATTGCCCTTCAATAACTCTGGGAAATTCTCAGCCAATATCCCTTAAGGTTTTCCTTCTAAGATGTTTTGTATTTGTTTCTAACAGATAGTGGAACGTTGGTTATCACTGGCTTGGGGCCACTTTTATGATAATTTCTCAGTTTCCAGACTCCCAGATCACAGTATGAGTTATCAATTCAAATACAATCTGCCCAAAGAAGACTGTGATGACAGATTCTCACAGAAGATGTCTCCTGCAGCACACTTAGCCCAGGCCAAGACAGAAAACACACCACTAGAAGATTCTTTTCTACTCTTCCATTTTATTGGAGTGTCACCCTTCAATAGTCTGGCTTTATATGGGATCTAAGGTCTAGCTTATTGCCTTGACTGAGGCGAGTGCCAGATACTGGGTTAGCACTAAATCCCCAGGCAGGTTTCCCAGTCTGGCAACTTCCTTCAGTGCAGTTGCTTTTCATTCTTGACCCCTGGAGAATTTTTTTTACTTTATTGGGAGCTCAACCATGC